CAAGGTTTCTTTCTCTATGAAGGCCCGGCTGTCCTGGAACTCATTCTGTACACCAGGTTGGCCTTGAACTCAAAAATTTGCCTGTCTCCACCATCTCCCTGCAATCCTCCCAGCCCCCTACCTACTCCCGCCCCCACCCCCACCCCCCCACCCCCCCACCCCCCGCCTCGAACGCTGGGATTAAAGCTGTGGTCCACTATGCCAGGCACAATGAGTGATCTTAACCGCTGAACAAACTCTCCAGACCCCTTATTTTTTATTTATTTATTTTTTGAGATGAGGTAGCCCAGGTTGGCCTTTAACTCATGAGCCTTACGCCTACCACCCAAAGGCTGCGAAAACACGTGATGGCTGGTTAAACTAATACCTTAACGTTTCTCTTTTCTGTTTTCCCCTCCCCTCTCCTCTGCTCCCCTTCCTAAGACAGGGTTTCTCCGTGGAGCCCTGGCTGTTCTGGAACTCACTCTGTGGACCAGGCTGGCCTCGAACTCTGATCTGCCTGCCTCTGCCTCCTGAGTCCTGGAAGGAGTAAAAGTGTGCACCACTACTGCCCTTAGCGTGTGTCTGAGTGACGTCCTTATTTAGTTCTTCATTTACTTATCCCGTGCGTGCGGGCACGTGTGTGTGTGTTTGCGTGCACGTGCACACGTGTGCTATGTACACAGCAAAGGACAACTTGTAGGAGTCATTTCTCCGTCACCACGTGGCTCCTGAGGCTTCTGGGAAAGGCTTGGTGGTAAGCGTGGCTTTATCTGCCGTGCTATCTTGCTGGTCCTAATTCAACATCTTTTGTAAAATGGGGATGGGATGGTGCTTGGTTGTGTTACGGTACGCAGTGGTCCCTTTAGAGTTTTTTTTTCTTCTGTATCTGGTATATGTGTAGCTTGTGCACCTGAGTGTACGGGTGCGCCCGCACATGCGCACATGCCCGCACATGCGCGCAGGCTAGAGCTAGGTGCTGCTAGTTGTCCTCTCCGTCACTCTCTGCTGTCTGCCTTATTTCTTTAAGACAGGATGTCTCACGAAGTGGCTGAGGGATCCACCCATCTCGCTACCCCAGTGGTGGTATGACACACAGGCATGCTTGTAACGTGTGATTTTTATGTGGATGCTGAGGATGGTGGTCCAGTTTCTCATGCTTCGAGAACCAAGCACTGTTAATGATCGCTCCAGCCCTGTGGCCTTGAATTCTGGGAATGGCTGGGAAGATGGGCCCATTTTACAGACAGAGCAGGCAAGGCTAAGAAAACACACTGGACTAAGAACATACATAGAGGATCAGTGGTCAACTAAGGGGTTGGATATTGAGCCCCCCTCTCTCGCCCCGCGCTGTCTCTTGCTTTCGGTAAAGGTAGATGATGCCAGAGATGAAGCCATCGTTGACACAGCTGCCCAGCCCTGTCTCCTGTTCTGATGTTGCTAGCTCCCAGTGGTCCACAGGCTGGGTCACCAGGCGTTCCCACGCTCCAGCCTGCTCCAGGGAGTCTAAGGTCGCCTCCAGCGCCTCCTTGTATGGAAGGTTGGACGGATTGGTCCTGGTAGTCAGACAAACAAGTCCACCTGGGGAGGGTTGGGGCGGGGCAGGTGAGCAGGATGAATGCACGAAAGTCCCTGCTCGAGACTTCAGTTCGGGGCCAGATTTCTACTTCCAGGGTTTGCTGCCTAGAGTTACCTGCCCCAGGAATTCGGTTTCCTTAACCTGATGTTTTCTCATGGTCTACTTTTTAAAAAAAAAATTTTTTTATAGGGCTGCAGATAGAAACATGTGCCTCAAACATGCTAAAAAAGACACAACAGTTAAATCATACCCCCAGCCCCTCACTGGGGATTCTAGGCAGGGGCTCTACCACTGAGCCACGCCCCCAGCCCCTCACTGGGGGATTCTAGGCAGGGGCTCTACCACTGAGCCACGCCCCCAGCCCCTCACGGGGGGGGGGGGGGGGGATTCTATTCAGGCAGGTGTTCTTTCATTGAGCAAAGCCCCCTGGCTGTCATGGGAGTTTCTAGGTGAGTACTCTACCCCTGAGCTATATGCCCATTTTTAAAAATTTTTGCTTTTGAAACAGGATCTTGCCAAATTGCCCAGGCTGTTTTTGAAACCACTGTGTAGCACAGGGGAGGCCTTGGTTTGAGATTCGTCTGCTTACATTTTTTAGTAGTTGAGATGACCGGTCTATTTTACTAGGTCAGGTTCCTATGCAATCCCTTAACAGCCAAGTGTCCTTTACTCTGGGAATTCTTCACCCTGATGGGGACAGGGAGCTCCACGCTGTCTGTAACTCAGTCCCATTAAAAGACAAGTCTAGGTCTTAAGGACCAGCAGGAAAGCACTAGGTGTTGGCCCTAGCAAGACCCTCCATTTCTTTTTGTTAAGTTTCTTGCAGGCATGGCAGGGGGGAATGATGATTCCTCTTCACGGGAAGGACACATGTGTGCATTATGCATACATGGGTGCAAAATCCCCGGCAGGGGCAAGCATGGTGGTCCAAGTCTAATCTCCCAGCATTTGGTATGCCCAGGTAGGAAGGAAAAAAAAAGTGGAGAGCTTATTTTAAAAGTTTTATGTTTAGTTTTGCCTGCCTGTATGTCTGTTGTCTGTGCACCGTGATTGTGTTTTGAACACAGAGGCCAGGTAAAGGTGTCGGTCTCCTGGAACTAAGGTTACAGAAGGTTGTGAGCCTTTGGAAATCAAACCCAAGTCCTCTTAACCAGTGACCCATCTGTGTGGTCCTAAGGAAGCTCAGACTTTGAATCTGGGCTACACGGTGGTTTTCAGGCTACGGTGGGCTGCACAGCTATACAGAGATGCTAAAGACACACTTGTGCTCCTTCCTTGGGCTGTCAGACTATTGAAACAATGGTTGCCCCCAAATTAGGATTTCCTCAGGAGTCTGTCTCATGGTAGAAGAAGGAAAAGGCAGGAGCCTGTGCCACCCAGAGGAGAGACTTGTTTCTCTGAAGTTCTTCACACAGTTCTGAAACTTGCCAGTCCACCAGGCAGGAAACACCGCAGCCCAGATAATGACGGGTCACTGGTAAGGTGGCGCAGCATCTTGACCAGGACCACTTACCTATGCAAACTCCTGCCCCATCTTTAAACTTAAATTCCATGTCAGGACTGGGAAGAGGGGTTTGGGGTACATGTGTGTATCTGTGTTCCCCTTTCCAAAGAGGCTGCACTGAACAAACCTTTCATTGCTTTCCATATTACTTGGTTGGTATGTATGTATGTATGTATGTATGTATGAATGAATGTATGTTCTGGGACAGGGTTCCTCTACGTAGCCCTGGCTGTCCTGGAACTCTCTTTATATGGGCTGGCTTCAAACTCAGAGATCTGACTGTCTCTGCCTCCCCGCATAGGGCTAAAGGAAAGTGCCACCACCACCTGGCAACTTGATTATAATTGATCAGTTGGAGATGGCAGCTGGGCCTAATTTGTTAGGGCTGTCAGGACCCAAGCTTTGACCCTCGCTTTCTTTGTGTGGGGGGAGGGGGTGGAGAAAAAGCTGGATATGATGACACAAAATGTCTTTATTTTATGTGCGTAAGTGTTTGCCTGCCGGTATGTACGTGTACCTTGTGCATGCCTGGTGCAGGTGGGCACCCGAAAAGGGTATTGGATCCCCTGGAATTCGTGTTACACATAGTTGTAAGCTGCCATGTGGGTGCTGGGAATCGAACCTGGGTCCTTTTCAAGAGTAGCAAGTGATCTTAACCCTTCTTTGGGTTCAGACCCTAGGGGGCTGAGGTGCATATTGTACACATACCAAAGCAGACCTGGCCTCCAGGTTCTCCCGGCATCCCTCAGTATCTACCTGGCATGCCCTGACCTCAGACATACTCCACTCTGGAGTCTCTTCCCTAGAGCCTCTTTCCTATATAATGTAGACATTGTGGTCTCCCCTCTCTCTTCTTCTCTTTCTCTGCATGCACACACTCCTTCTCTCTCTCCCTTCCCAGGATGATTTCCCTGGCATCCTTCCCTGGGGCCGGTGAACTTGCATGAGAGCAACCTTCCAATAAACCTGCACTTAATAATTTAATATGGCTTAAATTGTCTCATTTCACCAGCAGAGAAATATTTTATCAAGCCTGAGCCATCTCTCCAACCCAATGTGAAACTTTTAATTCTAGCGCTCAGGAGGCAGAGGCAGAGGCAGAGGCAGAGGTAGGTAGATCGCTAAGTTTAAGATCAACGAGGGTTCCACAGTCCTTGCCTAAAATATAAAATAAAGCCTGGTGAGTCAAGAAGCCCCGGCTGCGGGCTGTGTGTGTGTGTGTGTGTGTGTGTGTGACAGACTGTCCACGGAGCTGCAGTGCATCCAGTATGCCTGGTTTCTGGCAGATGGGGTGAGGAAGGTGGGGGGCTCAGGCTGGAGCTGGAGAGTCTGTTTTGTTTAGGTTCATGCAACGGGCATTTCCGGTGGTTCTGAGCCCAACCCATGCCACTGCTGATGACCCTATCAATGCCCTAGCTTCTGTTGGCCTCTCTGAAACAGAATCCTGCCCAGACATGCAGGCTTAGTTCCAGGAGTAGGGCTTGGGAGAGGAAGTATTTTTATCTCCCAACTTCCTCATTCTGTCCTTAGGCAGGGTAGACCCTCTTCTGGATCTTTCTATTCTTCTGAGGTTCTGACTTCCAGGCAACTCCCTACCCCATCTTCTGCGACTGCCTTGCCCCCAACCCTTGAAAACGCAACTTTATTCTGAGAGTACTGATCTTCCCTGCCTTCTATGAAATCCCACAAGAGAGGAGCTGGGGGCGTAGCTCAGTGGTAGAGCCCCTGCCTAAAATCCCCCAGAGAGGGGCTGGGGGCGTGGCTCAGTGGTAGAGCCCCTGCCTAGAATCCCCAGTGAGGGGCTGGGGGCGTGGCTCAGTGTAGAGCCCCTGCCTAGAATCCTCCAGTGAGGGGCTGGGGGCGTGGCTCAGTGGTAGAGCCCCTGCCTAG